TTTGTGCTGAAAGTGCACTGCGCGGTGTCTCCTTTAAGCTTGCAGTTTCCCCCGTATGCATCCTCCCCCGTGCAATTATCCAATTATGTGCCCATGCAATTTTGCACATAACATGTATGGCCTGAAATAATTGCATACATTTGCATAATTTAACTTGTTCAGGCTCTGTGCCTCCACCTCCGTGGGGCTCCTGGCACTCCAGCCACATTGAGGCACAGAAAGCAGTGCCATGCGATTAGACAACTGGTGAGTGGGGAGGGGAGTATCTGCCTATGGGGGGTAGGGAATGGGGGTATATGTGAGTGGGTGTGGGGTTTGTGGGTGTATGTGGGCCTCTCTGCCACATGTCTCTCCCCCATGGTGCACAGCCACTGCTGCCAGAGGTGGCAGCAGCAGAATCACCCTCGGGATGCTCGTGGCCACAGCAGGCAGAGCCCGCAGCAGCACATGGCTGTGGCTGAATCCCAGGGGAAGCACACCTTTAACCCAAACTGGGTTGGCTCCTTGCCAGCACATGGGGCTCACAGCACTGTAGGTGGGAGCCATGCACCACCAGGCTGGGCCAGCCAGCTCCATGCCTCCACATGGGGCTTCCATTACTCCAGCAGAAAGCAACACATGGAGGCATGGAACCAGCTCAGCCTGATGGCGCATGACTCTTGTGCCTCCATGTGTGGCTTTCTGCTGGAGTGTTGAGAACTGCACATGGAGGCATGGAGCCTGCCTAGCCTGAAGGCACACTGTGCCTGCTTACAGTGCCAAAAGCCTCACATGCTGGCATGGAGCCAGCCCAGTCTGGTTCAAAGGCATGCACCAGTGGGCCAGGCCAGGCCAGCTTTGTGCTGCTATGTGCAGCCCCTGGAATTCACCATATAATATGAATTTTTTCTACACATAAGTTTGAATTTTTCTGCACATATTTCCCTAGGGTATAATATATGGTCAAATCCAGAATTTCACAAAGTTAGACCCTGACTCCATGCGGTGCCCAATGACTAGGGAGACAACGATCCAATCACTCATGGATCCTGTTACTCATTAGCCAGAGCAAGCAGGGAGCAAACACCAGCACACATTGCTCACAACAGCTTTATTCAGAATAGAGACAGCTTTGGGCAAGCTCCTTCATAGACACACAGCCTGTGAAACCAGGGGAGCAGCCTCAAACAATAGTTCTTTCCACATTTTATACACCTTGGTTCACACTTATTAACATTTACCCCGCCCATGTCCCTCCTTTGGTTCCACCCATTTCTCCTCCCATTTCAAGCTCCGCCTCTGTTTACTATTTGCTTCCTTAGCATGGTATTGCCTATGCATTTCATTCATTTACATGCCTTTTTGCTAAGAGTGCATGCTTAAGATTTTGACCCCTGTCTTCTCCCGGTCAGTTGTGGTTTCTTGCTGGTCCTTTCTAGTTTCCTGATGACTTCAGCACCATCTCCAAGGCCATACTTCAGCTTTGTCCCCTAACGATAGCCGTTGGTCTGTATCCTATTCTTACGCATTAGCAAAGTTAGTTACTTTTAGTATATCATCCAGCCTTGTGACCAGTAGCTTTTGCTGAGACACAGGAAAAAGCTTTCATTCAGCTGCACACTCAATGCTCCCCAAAATCCATATCATTACCTTAACAGTAACAGCAACCCAAACTGCTGGGGTGGGTGCACCCCCCTGCTCCCAGCCTCCTCTGTCCCCACCAGTGAGAGAAGATTGCACTCTGGGGACTTTTTTAAGTACATAAAGCTGGTGAAAATCCCTTCCTTTCTTCTGCTTCTTGCTCAGAGGCATGCTCCCTAATCTCCCTTTGCTCCCTCTAAACTCCCCTGCCTGGCCCTGCTGCTTTTTCTGCTTTTGTGGGGATGGGTTCAGGTGGAAAGGGGACAGTGGCAACGTGTGGTGGGCAAGTAGTTCCCCAGCCCTGACCAGTTCCCCAGGGTCAGGCATGGGGAAGTTAACCCCTGCCCATCACTGCTGCTGCTGTCCCCTCCTCACTTGAGCCCAGCCCCCATAAAGCGAGATGGAAAGGTTCTGGTGCTTCTCCTGCCCCCAGGAAGTGGGGAAAGCAGCAGGAGTAGGTAGGGGGGGAATGGAAGGGGAGAGAAGGGGGCATGCCTCTGAGCAGGAAGAGGAAGGGAGGGAGGCATTTTACCTGCTTTAGGGACTTTAAAAAAGTACACAAAGGCTCCTGTGGTGGGTCCAATTCTAACCTGGGTGGAAGCCAATGATGTAGTCCCATCTCCAAATGAAGGGCATGTTAGCAGGGCAAACGCAATGAGGGGTGAAACTGCCTGTGGCACGTAGTTTCCTTCTTTCCCCTACAGAGAAAGGCCAGGACATGTGGTACGGCTATGTACAAATTTAATAAGATATAAAAGTTAGAGGGTTAACATATTTACACATAAGATATAGGAGTTAAAACAGCTTCTATACAGGTTGATGCAAACACTATATACAGGTGAGGAATCAAAAAGGGGACCAAAGCAAAAGTCTCATTAGAAGTCATGCAAATCTTGTACTTTAATGGAATGCCACTTTACAAAGCGTGAGCTGCAGGATTCACAAAATATGAGGCCCAGGGCCCAGAGGGGAATAAAAAAACCCAAAACAATAAGCTATATTAAAACAAAAGCAACACCACAGCGGAAGGAGTGGCCCTAGATAAGAGATGGGGAGTGGGGAGCCCCAGATACACCCAGCTGCCCTTTTAGCCAATTTAAATACCCCAACTGCTCATCATGGAGGTGGGGGGGGGGAAGACCTTCCTCCCCTGTGGGAATCCCCTACCCAGGCAACTCAGTGAATCTGTCCTTGATTTCTAGAGTGAGGCATCTCTTCTCTTGGTAGGGGGCCCTCAGGTGCTTTGGGGCTCTCCCAGCCTCTGGCCCACTTGGGGCCTTGTGCACCACTCTGTACCATTGGCCCTGCCTTGTGCCAGGGGTTGGAGACCTGAGCTGCTTTGGGGGTCTCAGTCCACTTAGTCCACAGGGATGGAGATTTTCCAACCTCTCTGGGCATCCTGTTCCAGTGTTTTACAACACTCCTAGCGTGAAAGTTTTTCCTAATATCAGACCAGAAGCACTCATCCCTTATGTCCAGTCCCTCATAGGCTACGGAATGGGGTAAGCCACCCAGGCCATGGCCCGACCAACTTTTAGCACATTAATTTAACTAGCTATGCAGTTAAAAAAATAGCTATACAGTTTTAACTGGAATGACAATTGTGCATTTATGGGTTATATAAATTAACATGCTAAAATTTGGTTGGGCTATGGCCCAGGTGGCCCATCGTGGTTGCAGCTGTAGTTCATCTCTCTTGTGCAAGTGGTCACATAGGTCTGATGGCACCTGGGCAGGTGATTTAACCCACCACTTGAGAATTGCTGCAACAGCCCATTGGGTGCCCTGTGCCATGGTATGAGTAATAGACTTGGCTGCTGTGGCACCATGCACAGAATAGGAGGGTTCACTAGCCTGGAGCAGAGAAGTACCCATGTGGCCTTGTTCATCATACTAGGGATGGGTGCTGTAGCCCTTGTGCAGCTTCCAGTGGCAGCTCCTGGGATGCTGAGGGAGATGTCTGTGAGGCAGCCTTTTGTTGTCAGAGTGCAGCAGTGTATGGGGGTATCCCAGAAGCATTTCCTCATCAGAGATGCACCTTTCTGCAGTTGCTGAGAGTGGCTCTGGACTCAGCAGACTGCCCAAGAGGCAGACACTTGGATGCAGATCCATCCAGAGGGGACGTGGTATCCTTTCATTACATCTCCCTAAACTTGTATTGGGGGCACTTATGTGTACCTGGCAGGGAATGTAATTACACCTTCACTTTGGCCATGTACTTTGGAATGGCCTAGATTCTGCACTTAGTTCATCCAGCCAATGAATAGAATCCTGTCCTGAGACCTCAAGCCCTCATGGCATTTTTGAGCTCTTGTTAAAGCTTTTATCTGCCTCTAATGCATTTTCAGTATTTGTAACAGCCTATATTGGCCACTGCTCTGAGATGTTTGCCTGCTGTCTCAGAGCTGATGCCTGGTGTTGAGCAGCCAGTCTCAATATATTTCCATATATCTCCATACTGGCTTTCACGCAGTGCTGAGGTTTATTTCTTTTCAAACAGGTTACACTTCTTATAATATGTGTGGAAAAGATGAGGTCTGTACCCCTTCCTCTACATGTTTCTGCCTCCTAGAGCTTATGGATTATTTAGCTTGACCATCAAGTTGAAAGCCTGGGGCTCTTTCTATCTCAAAACCAGCCCCACTTCTTACTTGACAAGGATTTCCTTTTATCCTCTGCTTATACCTAGGGTTTGGCCCCTAGTTAGCTGGTTGAGGTTTCCTGATTCTTTTTAGTTCCTAATGTCCCAAGTATTTTTATTCAATTCCATCTTTGTTGAGTAGAGCCTATAGACACCGTCACTGTCCATAATTATGACCCTTCACATTTAACATGTCTCTGTACACATTTGAAACCTATGAAACTTTCTGTCTTTGTGTTTTAATTTCCCCATCTGTAAAGCAAGTATATTAATACTTCCATGACACACCTCTGTAAAGCTGCTTTAGGCAGGCCAGGTTCTTTGGGTAGATGCGATCTCTTTTATTAGACCAACTGAGTAGTTGAAAAAAAAGTTCTTTGCAAGCTCTTTTAAACTAAAGCTCTTTTATACCTTTGATAAGTTATGTGTACTGATGTTAATATTTTCTCAAACTTAGTATGTCAACTGCAAAGTCACCATTAAAAATTCAGGGTTTTTATTGGTTTATCTAAAGTTTTGGCAACAGGAATTCTGTGATTTTTTTACTGAAAATATATTCAACTGAAGTGAAGGTTTTAATTTAGTTATATGGAATAGGAAAAACTGAGGATACCAAAAAATGTGGGATTCCCCATGTCATGTCAAGAATAGTGGCAGAACAATGTCAAATGGCACTCTCACTCTGGCAAGTTACATCACCTAAATACAATTTCTTATGTACCTATTGTTTTTATTTTAGGCTCTATAAATATGGACAACCTGCAGTCCCTCTCATCCGATAATGCTACCATTGCTATGCAGCAAGCCATGATGGCAGCTCATGATGACTCACTTGATGGTACAGAAGATGAGGAAGAAGATGAAATAGAGGAAGAGGAAGATGATGAACTGGAGGAAGATAATGATGAGCTCCAGACAACAAATGTTAGTGACCTTGGTTTGGAACACAGTGACTCACTGGAGTAGCAAATAACTGAAGGTCCCTGATTTTAAATGAAGCAGATGCCTCCTGGAAAGTTGTTCCTTACCTAAATCAGAAGCTGAGGAATCCTTGAACTTTGTCATAAAAGTTCCCACACATTTCTTTAAAAGTTATATATGACAAAATCAAGTAATGATGCCCTACAAAGTGTCTCATTTGCCTGGATCAGACTGCAAATGTGGACTGGTGTGCACATTTAAGAGACCAGTAGAATGTGCAGGCTTATTATTTAAATGGAGGACACATGTTTACAAGGCACATATTGTGGCCAGCTTTTTCCTTTTTCTTTTCTTTTGATAAGAACACAAAAGTGTTTTTAGGGTAAGCTGTTTTCTGTATGACTGTTTGATGGATGTTATCATGAAATGCCTTTTTGTGATATGCAGGTAAGAGGCAAGCCTTTTCATTTTCATTGCTTTTCTGAAAGATTTATAGATATGAAAGTACTCACACTTTTTTAGAAAAGTAAAAGATTGTAATGATTATAGAGATCCAAATGTAGGGAAATCAGTTTGCAAATTTGCAGAATTTAAAACTGAATATTGAAAAGAATTTAACATTGGATTCACTTAGGCCCCTAATTAGAGCTGATTAAATGAATTTCTACTCTTTAGACTTCCAGCTTGTACTATACAAGTGTAGCAAAATCAGACTACAGATGAGGCACACATTTTGTGACAGCTCAGTGTGAAACTGAGAATTTAAATCATTTTAATTTGATTTTTTGTTTATGACACAGTTAGTGGAATTTCTATGCCATAGGTGCAATGTCACATGACTAAGAACATACCAAGAATGTGTATTTTAGGTGCTACTAAATAAAGACCATGAATACTGAAAAATTCAGTCAGAAATAACTGGACACTTTTATACTTGCAGTATATTAATCAAATATGAAACAAAATTCTAAATTTTCCTTGTTCATCTGACATGTGCTCAAATTTCAGAAACAGTTCCATACTCTGCTATGATAAATATAGGTAACTTCTGTTTGATCTCCTGGCTTTGAGGCATCAGGGATTTCTAAAACAGGAACATTTTCTTGAGCAACACTAATTGATGTTTCTGTCAAAATGATGAAATAAAAAAGGCCTTCCCATCATACCCATCATATGGAATACACACCAAAATTACTTCTTGTTTAATCATTTCATCCAGAAAATAAGAATGCTAGAACTGGAACCCTCTTGAAATAAAATGCAAGCTTAGATATCTTTTATACAGTTTGATTTGGGATCAGATCCATAAACACTTTCATTTGTCAATGAAGAAGGTATGTGATGAGGTACAGGGCAATACTAGTAATAGAAGTCCCGGGAAACATGGTAACACGACTGCCCAATGTTCTAATACATAAAACTAATAAGAATGAGATTATTGAAACACCATATTTTATGACATTACCCTGTACCTTTTCCCCCCAAAACCACCTTGTGGAAATTGGGGTGTGCATTCATAGATTCATAGATATTAGGGTCAAAAAGGACCTCAGCAGATCATTGAGTCCGACCCCCTGCCCCAGGCAGGAAAAGGGTATGGGGTCAGATAACCCCAGCCAGGTACTTGTCCATTACATGTGAGAAAAACAGATCCCCATGCATCTGGAATTTTAGTGACAGGGGAGAGGTGGCAGTGTTGTCATGGCTTCTAAAGCAATGCCAATTAATGCTCCACTGCCCCACTGCCACCAAATTTCTGGACCCATAGGGAGCCCTCTCCCTTGCTTGCCAGTTGACATGGCTCTTCACACTGGATTGAGCCAGTGCATGGGGTCAGACCCAGCAGGTGGCCCCAGATCTGGCACGCAGCCCTGGACTGGGTCACAAGGGTGGACTTGCCCCAGACCCAGTGCATATGGTTGGACCTGGCACACAGCCCCACATCTGGCATGTGGTATTGGACTCCAAAACTGAACCTGGAACTAGTGAACTGAGTCAAACCCAGCATGTGGCCTCAGCCCCAGAACACAGGTTTGGACCCATCATGCTGCCCCAGACACTGGATCCCAGATTCAATGTGCACAGCTGGACCATGTATACAGCCCCCAACCCAGCAGGTGACCCTGGACCCAGTACATTGGACTGATCCACAGGCCACATCTGGCACATAGGACTGGCAGCAAGCTCAGGATCCAGCTGAGCTCCCTAGCTGCTGCTATTCAGTTTATATAAGGAAGATTTTTTTTTTGCCTTCATGGTGCCCTTTACAAAGAAGTTGTCTATTAAATATAGGAGCTTGCTGTATGTGAGAAAATATGATAATCAGAAAAATGGAAAGAAAGACCCTTGAGCCTAGTCATAACATAGGAAGAAAATAAAACACCATTGTAAGAAAGAAATTTGATGTCCAACATTTAGTCTCTCCCTCCTCCACTCCATGATAGTGAATACTGGAACTGAATAAGGGTACATTTCTTATGCACATTCAGAATCACTGTAAATTGTAATTAGAACATTTTAGTAAGAAACCATAGCTAACGATCCTGTACCTCCTGGAAGTGGTTTCTGTTGAAAAAGTGGAAGGTCTTTAAGTTCCACTTTTGGAGAGAGGAGTGAATTTGAAATTGATGCGGATTTGAAACTGATGCAGGTTTTCTGAAATGAATCATAGAAATGTAGGGCTGGAAGGGACCTCTGCAAGTCACCTAGTCCAACTCCTGCTTAAGGCTTCAATATCCTGCTCCCTCCCCCTCTTCCCCAAAGACAGTTGATATTTAATGATCTTGTAGAAAATTGGCGAAACAATTTAATTTCTAGTCAATGTAATAGACTATATCTCAATGTCATAATTAGAACAAGTTTCACTTTTGAAAGTGTGGTGGAGTAGGAGCTTTACTCCTTGGATCATATTCTGTGTTGCAAACATTTGCATAAAACACCATCCCCTACACTACACACTTTATGTACCCCTACATGTACCTGATTTTATATAGTCCTCACTTGATACAACGAAATAATGTACTCTGGGTTTGAGATATTTTCAGTAAAATTAATGTTTTATTATAAAGCTTGATCCCACTTTTAAGATTTATTCCTCTACAACAATGATATTTCCTCTTCCCCGAACCTGCAGTCTTCACTCTGCTTCTTCTTTTGGGTCTTGAGGAGTTGAGAGGTTTTATTAAACACAATAAAGGTTGGGTCAATAATTCCATGGGAATGTTATGGAATGGCAATGGTCATAAAGACCCATTTTCAATACTGGTATGGCTTGAATGTAATGTGTAATTTCATAAAAAAATCATTGTAATTTAGTATTAATTCATGTCCATTTATTATAAAGTGCTACCAGATGAGGTTTTGCAGATGTATTTCATTGTGATTTTATTTATATGTTCTTGAAAAAGAATTAGGAATAAAGAGTAATAGAAATTCATGCTAGTGGGGGAACCCAGTGCTACACAAGATATGAGTTCTCTTAACTTGATTCTCTTTTGTCAGGCCTCAGAATTGAAAATTGTTGTTATTCTCAAAAACTGTTGAAGATGTCTGAAATGGTGGCCATTCCCTATAGTGACCACTTTAACTGTTTTGTGATAATGACTGGAAGATGACAGCAACCTGACTGAGAAAAGTCAGTCCTCCTTCTACAGCAAGCTGCATTTATTCTCACAATCCATATGTGGTATATGTATCTGAATTAAAGGAACAGATACACAGGTCTGAGCAATCATTTTGTTCAATCCAAAAGAGCTGCAGATCATATTGCTTATATTGGGCATTCAATTCCTATAACTGTGAGGTTAAAATACTCAAAATTCTCTAGCTGACAAAGTAAATGCATTTCTAAATAAAGATAAAAAATGGAATTCTGATGTAAACATTCTGTGTAATCACAGGACTGTGTATGTCCCCTCAGGTTAATTGATGGTTCTTGTTCTTATTTTAATATTTTCTCTTATTTTCTTGTCTTTCTGGTTGAGGCTCCCCTGAATGCAAAATTAATGGGCCACTCCATTGTTCTTTCCATACATATAGGAACATATAGAAACACACATCCTTTCAGAGAACAGACTTACAAGAGCAGAACTTCCCATTACATCTTCAGTGCTCCCTGTGTTTCAAAAGGATCTATCCACTTTAGTAAGGGGCCTGGCAACATCCAAAGGGATAGAAGTATCATTTTAATTAGAGTCCAGGATTTCTTCCATGGAAGCCATGCCTTCAGTCAGATCTTCTGCAGACATCTTGGTGAGAACCTCTGCCAGCTCAGGATTTGAATTAAAGCTTTGTACCCAGGTCTAAAACCATACCTCGTGTGCTTCACCTCTTTCCTATTAAAACTGCTAATGCTCCTGGGATGAGTGGCCAGGCCTCTCTTCCAGTCAAACACCATCTGTTAAGGAAACCTCAAGAGAAACAGTCCTGCAGCATCCAAGAAGTTACATGTTAACACTATTTTTCAAGTGGTTACATCTACAACATCTGTACTTTTGACATCACACTGTAGATTTTGGAAGAGAAGCAAAAAGCCCTTTCTGCAGTGCAATCAGTACTGAACATGAGGTCTCTATACTTTCCCTTACCTAGGAGAAGTTACATAATGAGAATAAATAGTGAAAAAACAAACTTACTACTGCTCCTCTTAATACCAGTGGAAATCTTTAGCATGAGCCTCTAGGAAATTCCCTTTTTCTCCAATCTTTCTTTTCCACTGGCTCCTTAGACAACAGTAATCATGCTGTGTGAGTTCTAATCATACTGAATGTCCTGAACAAGATAACTCTCACCATTCTTATAAAACAGAATGACTTCTAATTATTGAATAACAGAGTTTCTGAGAGGCTATTTCATACCAAAGTGAAGGGACACTAAGAATTATGGAAATCTGCTGTCCTTCAAGATTTCATAGTTTCATAGTTTCATAGTAGCTAGGGTCAGGAGGGACCTGAACAGATCATCTAGCCTGACC